TACTTGAACAACCACAAAATACTTTGGAATCCCACACTGGTAGGGAAATGACATGCAACTCTACATCTCTTCCTACTTCTGCAGTAAAGACACAGTAGCACTCCTGGAAGCTGGAATGAGGAGCAGATGCTATACTCCATTCCAGAACAAGGATATTCTCATGGAAATAAGTTGTTTTCTTCTTGTGCATGTGTGGTTTCCTCACTCTGGGAGAGTCACATTTGACTCTGAATTAGCAGCAGCAAAGGCAAGTTGCTTGCTTTCACTTTCATTTATTAAAAATGATTGTGCCAGGTTGTTTTAAGTAGATGACAACATTTCATCTTTGTTACTTTCTGGTTAGAGGGATGAAATTTACTGTACTGGGAAATGGGTAAGGCGATGCCTGATACCAGTTGTAAAATGTGGCTGTCCTCAGAAGTATATTTCATCATTTTGTCCCATTATCTGTACTCTTTATGATGTGATTTTAGTCCTGATGTGGCACACAGATAAAAACACTCAGCAGGTTCTAAGACAGATGATTACATCAAAAGGAGTTCAGAAGACTTTTTTGGATGCAGGGTCTGCCTTTGGTACTTTGAACAACTACATAGAACTTAAGAACCGTTAGTGGCATCAGAACTGTGCTCTATCCTGCTCTGCTGCACAGCATCTGTGAGTTTTCATTTACTACACACCCCTAGTTTTACTGTGTCTCACCCTTTAATAAAAAAAATACAGGAGCAATACCTGTATGAAATATTACAGAAGGCTAGCAGAGCCATTGCCCAAGTGCTTGCTATGATAAATCCAACATTCTTTGCAGACCAGGCCTTTGCCCTCATGTTTTACGTTTCTTTACTGAAACAGTAATAGCATCAGCTATGTATTAGAAATAGTACCACCATGTGAAAGATTCCAAGTGTTCCTACGTCCCCTTCCCCTTCCACCAGCTCCACATCTGAAATTGCCATGATAAAGCAGGCCAGCATTTCCCATATCCCATCTGAGCATGGTGCTGGATACTGAAAGGCACACTGCACCAGCTAGACAAATAGTGATACAACCCACCAAGAATAGGAAGGGGTTTCCTAACTTTCATTAAATGATTGACACAGATTGCTTAAACTTCAATTTATGAAATACCTAGCAGCTTTTCTACGCTAATTCTGTTGCATTGACTTTTATTATACATTACCAAGGTTATTTCAAGGGCTAATCTTGTGTATTAATTTCAAATACTATTTTACTGGGACAGGGTGAAAACAGCTACTGCTGTTTATACATACGACACACTTAAAAGGCTGCAAAACCAGTTACCACAATTTCAACTTCTGAGAAATCACGTAAGTAAACACCAGGCTGCATCCAAAGCTGTCCCTTAGCCACTGAAGATGGGTTCTTCTCCAGTCTGCCACTTTCACAGCCTTAACTGACGGTCAGTACTCCAGAATCCAAAGTAGTTTGTCAGAGTGACTGATCCAGACAGTGATTGTGTGGAAGATGCAGCTTACCTAACTTGAGAAAAGTGGGACTGATGCAGACACTCACCCATACAGGTTTTCACCCCCCCTTCAATATTGTATCTAAGGCCACCCCTTCCATAGACAGCAGCCGTGTTCTTTGGAGAACTTTATTAAAATATATCCACGAGGTAATCAAACATTTTCTAATGAGTCAGGAGAGAACTGAAGTGAGAAAAACACCTGTACAGAGGACAGTGCTGTAAGTTTTTGTTTACATGCTTTATTTCAATGTTTCACAGTTTAGTCATTGTCTACAAAAATATATTTCTGAAACTCTGAGTCCTCTATAAAAAAGCTGGTCAGCAACAGTGACCCTAACAAACAGAATGTACCTTGGGGCAGTGAGAGCACCTCCTGTAAGCAGATCAGTGCAGCTAGGGCACTCCTGCCTCACCCTGGGAGACTTCTGTTCTTTGGGATTAAAGCTCTGCACTAGTTCTGAAGGAAGGCATTTAAGAAAAAAAAAATATCATTCCACTTCTGTATACTGCACTAACCTTGGGAAGGGGAGCTGCAAATCAGTGTATCACACAGGAGAGTGCTAACAAAGGCACTCGGGGGATGGAGAAGACCAGAGGGTACTTTGAGTACTGGTGTATTTTTCTTTGAGCTATCTGTTCAGAACAGCCTTCGTCTAGTGATAGGTTCAGTCTATAAGCAGAGGTACAAATGGCATACAAGCACAGTAATCCTGTAAGTACAGAGAGAGTCCTTCTTTGAAGTTATGATAAGGGTTCTGTTAATTTTTACCTCAATGTTTTCTGCTGTGGCTTTAATCAAGGGGAAAATTATCTTCACATCCAATCACAAGCCTACATGGTATTGGATAGAACAGAACCACTATCAATGCTATCAGCTTCAACTCCTCAGTACCCAAAACTGGAAATATTTCTTATGCCATCAATCATGTAATTCCTACACTTACTAGCCACCAGTATATCTAGGCACCAAAATGAGAACTAAGAAACTCAAGTGTTCCCCAGATGAGATCTTTCCTTTCTTCCTCTGCTCAGTTATTTGACTGGTCTATAGAGATAACTGCAATTAAGAAGAAAAAAAAAAAAATTGCTTCCTCTTTTAAAAAAGTAAATGTATTATGCATTGTGCTCTAGAAGAGACAAGGCCAGTGTACTCTGATCCTCTGTATTCACAAAGCTCATAGCTAGAAGCCCCTTACCACAAAATAATCTCAGACTTGAACCCCTAAGCAGGGCAGGAATTTTCAGCAGCAAATATGGAAAGAAGTTATTGACAGACTGCTTCCCTAGCATAGTAATAGACAGATGATGAGCTCTCAGTCCCTGAAGACTTTTCCCCATCTGCCTATCAGAAGAAATGCTTTCTGAGCTAGTAGCTTGTAAAATTTAGATTTCCTAGAGATTAGAGTACTCAGGAAAGTGCTGCTGGTTATTTTAGGTACAGCTGCAATCCAAGTGCTTCTGAGCTCTAGGCTTTTGTTCAGAAAAGTTCTCCTGTAATATGTGCCTACCACCAGTCCCAGTCTGATCTGCTAAACCTGAGCAGCCAAGGAGGTATATGAATTATAGGTAGAATCAGCATCATCTGTGAAAACACAGAAGCCAAGAACCTTCACCAGGACAAATACCTTATAAAAAAAGACACTCAGCACTAGAGAACTAATATAATCTCACTAATGCTAAACAGTTAAAATTGTAAAATCTGTAAGAAGACACCTGAATTTCACTTCCTTTCTTGAATTGCTGGGATGGAGAGGGGTGGAGGGGCTGGGTGGAGGAGAAAGGAATGAATCACTTCATTATATCAGTAGTAAGCCAATATATGGAGGCAGTATTGGAGAAAAGTTTTAAACCAGGAAAAAATCTGAAAACTTACTGACTCCAAAAGCTTTCCTCAGCTTCCTGAACTGTAAACAGCCTAAACAGAGGATTCTGTCCACACCTCAAGGTGTATTTCCAGTTTGTTCCCAGCTGTTCAGCTTCCAGTCACAGACACACAACAGAGGGAAGAATTGAGGGAGGCAGACACTCACACATAGGGTATGCCTCCCATATAGCACCTACTTTAACATACCCTCACAACATGAACAAATCAGTCAGGAATTGTTACATCTTGTGCACGGAAAGGCTATAACTAAAATGTAACAAGATTAAATTAAAGGAAGATTTAGAATTAAGGAAAATCTCCTATGGAATCTGTTCTGCTGAAGACTCCATTCCCCTCAAAGTGGCGGTTCCTATTCAGTCATTTGGGAAATGGGAAAAGTCTTGAGAGGAACAATCCTGCCTTGGCCTCAGGAGGCAAGCTAAGAGTGTTCTCCTTTAGTATCACAGGGGTTATTAATGTAAAAAACCACTGTCTTGCCCTGCCCACTACTGGAGATGCAGTATGTGCCAGCAGAGCTAAGTACTGGTCAGCTGTTAAAGGCTGCCTTCTCTGTCAGCACAAAGACAAGTGTCACTAGCACTGCTATAGTACTGCTAGTTGATGCAGTTACAGGGAAAAAAAAAAAGAAAAAAAAAAAGTAGCACAAAGCTTAGAATCCTGACATGATAGATACCTTGTGGATTAACACCATGATTAGACTGTGAGGTACACGTGTGTGAGGAACCAGAAACTGCAGCTGCAAGTTATTGCTACTTGCTGTCTCCCAGTGCAAGGTTTTCCCATTTCTGCATTCTCTTGCCTTCTCCAAGTTACACAGACTCCAGGATGAACTATCTGGAGCCTCACTAACACAGTGGCGACCAGAACATATTTGATGACATTTTAATCCCTTCCAAATTATTTACAAGGCTGGCTTTGAGACTGTTACCCTTAATTTCAGGCATAGTACTGCATAGACGAAACTCTGTATGGTTAAAAACTAGCAATGCCTGCGCTGTCTGTTCTCTCAGGAAACCTTAATTAAAACAAGCAAAGTGACACACAGAGCCAAGCCTAGGCTGCATTCTACCACATGCATAATAAAGACAGTAGTCACAACTTCTCCAATTCACTAATATTTTTCTAATATTCCCCATGGCTACACTTAAGAGAAGTTCAGCCAAATTAAATTTAAGCTACAAGTCACAACTGAAAAGTGTGCACTGAAGTCTGGCGTTAGGAACACTGAGGGCCATCCCTGATCAGGCAGCTCCATTTCTATTTTCAAGTGCACAAGGACAGTTCCCTGTCACAGACAACTGAAGCAGATATATGGGAAAAATCACTGGTTGAACCAAGTATTTCGGAGGGGAGGCAAGGTCACTGCTGCCCTGCCCCAGAGAAGGGGGAAGATTCACTGAGAGACTAAAACTAAAGGGTTACAAAATAAAGGCAAGAGCTGAAGTTTGCCGGTAATGAAATGTGTTCTCCTGTCCTGTATGAACAGGAAACAGTCTCTGTAGGGTGTTAAAGTAGGTCCTAGGAGGAGGAAACACCCTCCTACTTTTTTCTGCTGCCAAAGGAGAGGAGAGGAGAGAAAGATGCTGCTATTGGTCAGCA